CCCTGCCTTGTTCACATTTCTTGACTGCTAGCCTCCCTTGGTCCTGTAGGATTTTGGCTGCAGCCCAGCCCTCGGCATCTGCCTGTCCCATGAGACAGTGGGTGAGCTTGGGAGCCCTGGGAGGATATGATGATTTTCTTTTCTCCCCTGAATTCCTCTCCTGTTGTGCATGCTTTGGGTCCTCAATCGATAGACTTGATTTACTGCAATTTTACACTTCTGGAAGCACAATGCTCATACGTATAATTTCTCTTCATCTCCGACATCAAAAGGATAGCTTTGTTTGTTGAAAAGAATGATTTTTTTTTCACTTCTCTTTTATTTTCATTTCTATTGCTGGGGGATAAATTGCTTTGGTTTCTTGTAGCTGGCCAGCCCACCCCAGGTATCCTGACCCTGTGGCCATTTCTCCTGGTGGCAGGTGCTACTCTGCTCATTTGCCTGCCTTTTCCAAGTCATACTGGCAGTTTTCTTTTTGAATGCGCTTGTCTTATGTATGAGCCTGTGTGCCTTTGTCTGCTAATTGGAACAATTAGTCATATTGTGTTCTTCCTTCATTCTTTCCTTCTTTTACTTTGAATCATGCATTGATTAGCACTGTTAGTGTTTCCTTCAGAAAGTATAGATCTGAGCCAGTTGCCACCGATGGGGGGGATATAATAAATCCAGTGTCATTATGTACTTCCCCTTGTAGGGATGCTTGGATCCTGCCACCATTCTGGATGTGCTTTTGCTGATTAAAATGTTCTTCCTTGTTTTCCCTCACACACAGAAGCAAAAAGGCATTGTTTCAGTGGCTCTTTGGGTCCTGTTAGCATAAGACTAAGGTGAGATATGGATTTGCAAAGTTTAGAAAATTTTAGAGAAATGTAGCACAAAACAAAATTTGAGTGCCTTTTGTGGCCAGTTCTATGCCAGATCATCTGGAATGAATGTAGAAGGCACTCCAACACTCAGACACACTCTTCACACTTAAGAAAATGGAAAAGCCATTAATGACTCTCTACTCTTTGGTGCTGGAGCACATAGTTGACACCCATTCCTGGATGGACCTTGTCTAATATTTTCTGTCTTCCTCTCAGCTTTCTGGGAATAAGGACCAGTCATCACACAGTTAACATTCATTGTCTATGTTGTTGCTTCTGTCGAGTTGACCCCTGAGTCATAATGACCCCATACAAAATGGAGCAGAACACTTCCAGGCCGTGCGCCATCTCCATGATTGGTTTCAGATGGGGTTCGGGTTTTGGCTGTTTTTCTGAGCTGATCTATCACCAGGCTTTTCTTCCTAGTCTGGCTTAGCCTAAGATCACCACAGTGCCTATGTTGTTGTTAGGTGCCATTGAGTTGATTGTGACTCATAGTAACCCTGGGAACCTTGATCCTTACTATGGCAGCCTCATGATCTCTGACATACTCCGGCCCTTTGTCACTGTGCCAGTTCATCGTGTTGAAGGTCTTTCTCTCTCTCTGACTGGCCTCTCCTGACAGTATGCCCCCATGGTGTATGAGGTAATTTCAACATCCTGGCCTCTAAGGAGCACTCTGTACTTCCTCTAAGATAGATTTATTTATACTTCTGGCAGTCCACGGGATGTTCAGTACTTTTCTCCAACACCACAATTCAAAGACATCAGTTCTTCCTCTTTTTTCATTGTTCAACTTTCAGATGCATAGGAAGCAACTGAAAACACTGTGGCTTCAGTTACGCATACCAATCTTTAAACTGACATTCTTGCTCTTTAGTGCTTCAAAGACACCTTTGACAGAAAGTTTCCTCCGTGCAATGCTTCTTTTGATTTCCTGGCTGCTGCTACCATGGAAGTTGATTGTGGTTCCAAGTAAAATGAAGTTCTTTTAAATAATTTTGTTTATTGTAAAAAAACATGTATAGGGATCCAAGGCAGTAACATTTAGGAGTAGAAGAGTGAGGATGGGCAGGGATGAAATCACAGGGTTGCATCATTTGGAGGGTGGAGGGAGTGGGTGAAGGAAATGAGAAAGATCCAGCAGGGACCAGAAAAGATAGGGTAATGGTGAGCACAGTCCAATAGTGATGATTATTTTTTTTTCTTTACAAAGAAGTTGTCTTTCTCATTTGTGCATTTCTCATTTGGGAATGGGGCACAGACTCTCTGGCTGCTTCATGCTAAACTGGAGCATTGAGATGAAGGGGAAGGGAAGCCCACTTTAACAGGTGGTCCTGAGTTGAAAGTTGAAGCTGCATGCCTTCTCGTTCAGTTAGAAGATATTTTCCTGACGTTTTCTGCCCTCTGGACTGCAAAGTGTTTTCCCAGGTGGGTCCAGTGCGGATGGCTGGCTGAACCTTGAAGCTCCATCCTCCATCACTTCCTTAGCTGGAAGTTATATTTCCTTTTTGTCTCTGAAACTGGGCTCAGGGTTCAGGTCTGAAACAAGACTTAGTCTTCACGTTACCTACAGGAAAGGGAGCCAACCTACAGACAACGAACTTGTGACTTTGGAGAAGAAGATGGAGGAAAGTGGCTTACATGAAATTCCTCATACACTCCAGGCAGCTCTCCCCAGCGACATGACGGCACTCCCCAGGAGCCAGGCTGCTCTCTCTGGGGGCCAGGCGCCACTCCGCAGGGACCAGGTGGCTCTTCTTTGGGGCAAGGTGACAATCATCATGGGCCAGGCGGTACTCCCCCCCACCAAAGCTCTTCTGGAATCTGGACCCTGTGCCCCACTGGAGACCAAGGCCCGGGACAGCATCTCTGGCTCTAGCGCTGCCATCATTGACCCCTTCCTCTCCACCAAGTGGTCCAATTGCAACTTGAAGTAAGCATCACTACCCTCCCCCTCTACAAATGGAAAAGTGGCTTCCAGAAAGGTTGACAGACCCACCTAACGTCAAAACAGTTCTTGACAGCAGTAGTCAAGAAATCAAGAGATGTGGTACATTGAGATCTGCTGTCAAGGATCTATTTAGGGAAGTCGTCTTCACTGACAGCGAGACGCTCTTCTGGATCCAGTCCTTCACCTCCCGCAGCTCCATGGCGCCACTGCTGCCCCTGCCATCTCCTCCCAGTGCAGCCTCGACAGTGAACTGCTGGGGGTGGTGGGACTCAACCATGGTTTTTCAAGACTCTTTGTCCTCTTGGTGTTGAGTCTCAATAAATATTGAAGACCAGTAGTCAATGGTTTCCAGTTGTTCAGGTACAGATAAATTGTGGGCTGTGGAGGGCCATGACAGCCTGTTTCAATGGGGCTCAGTGTGCCTCTGGGCTTCTCACATGGCTTCCCCTGCTGCTGCCATCTTGGTTCTCCTCTAAAATGAAATTCTTGACAACTTCATCCTTTTCTCCATCTATCATGACACTGCCTATTGATCCAGTGGTGAGGATTTTCGCTGTCTTGATATTGAGATATAATCCATATTGAAGTCTTTTATCTTCTACAGTAGCAGCTTTAAATCTCTTTTGCTTTTTGCAAGCAAGGCTGTGTCATCTGCATAGTATTGCTTGTTAATGAGTCTTTCTCCAAGCCTGATGCCATGTTCTTCCTCACAGGCTCCAGCTTCTAGGATTACTTGCTCAGCATGCAGCAGCACCTGTAGGAGGAATTGTATTTGATAAATAGATATTTACTGAATTGGATATCATTAAATGGAAATGAATTCCACATTCAGTGTCAGAAACAAGGTAAAGCATCCATTATAGTCACCTTCTGAAAGGTAAACTTTAACTGGTGGTATACATACGAGAAAGATGCATCCAAGAAGAGTAAGAATGCCAGGCATTTCCTTGGAAGCAAAGCCTTCTGGATGGGAAGACATCATTTCTTTCTTCCTATTTTTTAACCCCAAAATTTATCCACATTTTAATTCCATTCATGGATTATGACCACCACGGTTAAGAGGCTCCTCTCACTTCCTGCCCATGTTTGCGTTTCCATAAGTCCCTTCTTGCCTTCTGAGCTGCTGTCAAGTTGGTTCTGATTCATAACAACACTCAATCTGGTTTCCAAGGCTGGGAATCTTTACAGGAGATTGCCTGTCTTTCTCACACAAAGCATCCAGTGGGTTTGAACCACCAGCCTTTTAGTTGGCAGCATAACACATTCCATGTTACACGCATAGGACTCATAATCTTCTCTGGTTGATTTTTACTCTCACCCTGACACCTGGCTTGGAGGCTGACAACAACATCCCACTCAATAAATGTTTGCTAAATGAGTAACAGGATAGGGATTATTCAAAGAAGCATGTTTGGTACCAAAGGATGAATAGATTTGTCTGCTCATTCCTTAAGCAAACATTGAGTTGTACAAGTTGGAGGAAGGGCTTTTCTTGATGACACCTGAGCTCCTTCAATATTGAAGGGAGAAGGTGATGAAGAGACTGTTATAAGGTCCTCTTTAATTTGGGCAAGCTTTGGGGCAGGTTAATCAAAGAAGATGTTTATGTATGTGACACTGTCTAAGCTACATTTGCGGTCAATGAAATAATTTTCTCTTAGTGAGATTAATACTGGGAAAACACACATCCTTTTAATCTTAAAAAAAGAAGAGACCTTATTGTTTTGGTGATATCTATTGGATCTGGGTTCCAGTCAGCAACTCTAACACTTAAATTCTTTTTCTCCACTCTAACTTTGGGATATAGTCTTGGTGAGCATTGTCACATCTCTGGTCTCCCTTTCCTCAAGGGAAAACCTATCTCTGTCAAGGCAATTATGTTGCACTGGGACCCTCTATGAGGTTCCCAAGGCTATAAATCTTAATAAGCAAAAACTGCCCATCTTCCTCCCACGGAGCAGCTGGTGTATTTGATCTGCCGACCTTTTGGTTAACCGTGTAACACACTGCACTGTGGTAGGAGAGTTCCTTTCAGAGAAAGGTCCTCAGCATTTTCTCCAGAAGCAACACCAGACCTCTATGGGAGGTGCGTGTTGCCTCTAAGTCTGTGTGAACCGACAGCAGGCGGGGGTCCCCTGCAAAGTGCTCACCTGTTTCTCACCGGCTCTCCTCTTTCCTAGGACTGCATCGACATCGGCTGGTGGGAAGGGGAGCTCAATGGCCGACGAGGCGTGTTCCCTGATAACTTCGTGAAGTTACTCCCACCGGACTTTGACAAGGAGGGCAGTGTAAGTGTGTGGTCTGATCTCCATGTTCCAAGCATTGTCTGAATGGGCTCCATTGACGGGACTTGGGATGCAGGGTTGGGGAGTTTGGTATAATGCTTGACATTTTGTTTGGCATTTGCGTTTTATGGACTCAGATCCTGGCTCCTGTTTGCTCTGTACCCTGAGTGTGGCTATGAACAAGTCCAGTAACTTTCCTGAGTCCCAGTTTCCTCATCTGCTGATTGGCAACAATAATCTTTAGTCTAGGCTCTTGCATGAATCCTGGCTGATAATAGCACTGCCTCACACATTAAGCCCCTAACTGGACTTCCAAAATGCCAGGTTGTTCTACTTAATAAGTGCCTGTGTAGCATAGTCTTCAGTGGTGACGTAGTCAGTGTTGTGAAGGTTCCTATTGGAAGGCAGAGAACTCCCTTCCACTCTGGCTGGCTAATCATGCCCTCCTTCCTAACCCACCTGTGCTACCTTCCTAGCCTACCTACCTGCTTACCTAAATGCTTAACCTACCTACGTACATGCCTACCTAAATTAGCCTAACCTACTTACCTACCTACATACATACATACCTGATGCCTACCTACCGAACTATCTGTCACCTACCTTACCTAAGGCCTAGTCTACATACCTATCTCTTTTGTCTCCTTGCTCTTTCGTTGTAGAAATCTATTTTGCAAAACTGTCATTTAAATGAGCCTGTTCACCTTTGCCTAACACCAATAGAATTGTTTCACTCCCTGCAGTATAGCATAAAATACTGAAAATGTAGATGCACTTGACAGTGTAAAAGAGGTCCATAATCTATTCTTATTCATCCTATTCTGTCCCTCAAAGCTCTAGGCTTCCACATGACTTTGCCCCACCTTTCCTGGTCTGAACCCTCTTTTGTCACCATCTGTGGGGTCTCTTTGCCTGGACCCTGATGAACCTGACCTTGATGTATCATCATTTCCTCAGAGCTTAGGTGCGGGGGGAAGGCAGCAGTAATGGGGGCTGGTTGCCAAGGACACGGACCAAGTATCTGTTGGTGCGCATACAGCTAACTCACTGGTGTGTCTCTACCTGTTGGGAGCGTGCCTGCAGATGGGTAGATTGGGCTGAAGTCTAAGGCCACACACTGTAGGCTTTTTTGATAGTGTTCTTGTATTGTCTAGTGGAGCAAACACCTGCATTTCTCTCTTGAATTCTGAGTTTGGAGTCCAGACGGTCTGAATTCTGCTTCCTAAGGTGTCCCAGCTCCTTGACACTTAGATGTGCTTCATGGATTGGTAGCATCAGCATGACTTGGGAGCTTATTCGAAATGTTCACTGTATCTATATGATATCAAACGTTGTTGTTGTTGATGTTGTTATTGTTGATTGCCATTGAATCGAGCACAAATCATAGCGACCCCATGAACAAAAGGCCTGGAGACTTTCTATAAGCATTGGCATTTATCAAAGTTCATAGAATTTCCAGAAGCATGTTGTTTCCGAAGTAGATGCCACTCCTGCTTTAACAGCGTGCCTTTGGGATTACAGTACAGCTTCTTGCCACTAGGCCACCAGTGTGCATCAAACATTAGGACTCAGAAGTAAGGTCTGGCAAACATGTGTAGAGTGTCATGACCCTGGGCTGTGACATTGAACACACCTGAGCTTAAACCTGGTCTCTGTCACTTGTTCTGTGACCAGAGAATGTCTCCAGTTTTCCATATTCTCATCCATAAAACTTTGAGGAAAAAACCGTACCTACCTTGTGGAACATACATAGGGTTTTCAGAGGCCTGCTATTTCACAAGTGGATGGCCAATCCTTTTTCCTAGTCTGTCTTAATCTGAATGTTCAGATTTAGAGAAGTATCAAAAAAACCAGCATTTTATAGAAAAAGTGAAAGATATATCCCTTATTATGGAGTTAACCATTAGTGTCAGTGTTGTCCCTGCCTTTGACACGTGTGTCTTTACCCACTTATTTCCCTGCTCCATCATCCACCAGGATACCCATCTATTTGTACCCACTCCCTTCACATCTATCTCCCATTGCCCAGCCCTTGATCTGATAGCTTATATCTGAAGCTTCCTTGGCTTCTATGATTCCAAATATGTCAGCTGCTGGTAATTTCTTATGTTGTGACCAGTGTCTCTGAAGTTTAGTGGTAATGTTTCCCTAGTGAAGGTGATGTGTCCTGTAGTTATAAGGGGAGACCGGTCCTTGGAGAAGGACATCATGCTTGGGAGGGTGGAGGGACAGCGCAGGAGGGGAAGGCCCTCTATGAGGTGGACTGATTCAGTGACTGGGGTAATCGGGATGGGAGTGTCGGAGACAGTGCGACTGGCACAGGACAGAGCAGAGTTTAGGGCTGTTGTACATAGGGTCGCTATGAGTCGCAAACGACTCAACGGCACACAACAACAACAACAACAACCTTGTGGAACTGTGGAGAACATAACTGAGATGTTGAATGTGAATTCCTTCTCACAGTGCCTAGCGCTCTGTAGGTGCCCCCACTATGGTTAACGTGCTCTGTGGAGCTGACTCCAACTTGTAGTGACGCTAGAACTTCCTCACAGGGCTGCCCACGTTGTGCTCTTTAAGGAGTCCTGGTACTATAATGGTTAAACAGTTGACTGCTAACCAAAAGTTCAGTGAGTTCCAACTCACCAGCTTCTCTGTTACGAAACTGGCGATCTGCTCCTGCAAGTGTCCATACGTGTAAACTGTTGCAGTTACTCTTGCTACTCTTACCAGAAGTGCGGGAAGGCCCCAGAGAGAACTGGGTAGTAATTACTTTGGTTCTTTTTGCTTAAAGTCAGCTGATCACATCAACTCAGAATTATCTTGCCATCCTGGCGAGCTTCTCTGGAGGCCTAAATACATATAAGCGTTTTGTGATGGACCGTTAGAAGTCAGGCCAGTGATTATGAAACACGTTGGGTAGAGATAAGTAGGCACAAAGCACATAATCTTTAGGCTACTGCCTACATTTTTTTTCTAGATTTGCTGCCCAACACTTATGTCTCACATTCGTGAATTCTTCCAGTATTTATTGAGTCCTTTCTCTGAGTTAACCCCCTGCCAGGTGACAAGAAGTGAAGTGTACACACAAAAATTGCCACAGCCCTGACAGCAGGTCTGGTGTTCAGAGCCGGATAAACGCAAAAGGACACTGTGTGGGCCTAAGTGAGTGCCGGTCAAGGGTCCAGCTACCCACTTCACCTTCTATCTTATCTGGCGAGGCTAGTGAAAGGGGCTCGTGTCCTGAAACCCTTTGACACGAAAGCACCTCTCCTTCACCTACTGCATTGTCCTATGACCTCCTTGCCTTTGTATTGGTTCTTAATGAGATAGTGTGTCTTTAAGGGCTGTGGTAAAATCTCGGTCATTCAGTTCACAAACATGCACAGCCTGAGGCTGCCTACCTTACAACATCCTGCCTTCCAGTTCCCAGTCATCTTTTCAGGGAGCAGTGAAAAAGATTCCATGACATGCTTTTCTTGAAGCTCGCCTGTTACATAAAGTGCTCAGGGAACCACTTCTCCCCGGAGAGGAAAGTTGTCAGCGATGAGCAGTGTGTCTTTGGCATGCTCGTTGGGGCATGCATGTTCCTTGGGCCCGCGGACCTCCCTCCCACCTGAGCCAAGCGGCCACTGTCTCTTTGATAGGTCTGTTAACCTTGTCTCTGTGAAACAAAAAAACATCCAGTGTTAGGGAAACAGTAGTAATACCTGCCAGGCAAAGAAATACGTTCAGCTAAAACAGGGTTGTGCGCAACATTTAGGTTTTCAAAATCCGAAGCATTACATCCTTACTTTAACATCAAGCCAAATGGTGTGATCTGCAAAAGACTGTGTCTCCAGCAGTTCGAGCCCAACAGCATCCTCTTGGGAGAAAGATGGGCAGTCTCCCCATTACGATTGGTGGACTCGGAATCCCAGTGTGGAGGTGCTGCGTGTCAGAGCTGACGACAGTTGTCAGGTTTTGGGTGGGTTGGGTTGTTTTTTTTTTTCTTTCTGGTACCATAGTGAGTTATGTGTTAGCCACAAGGCCAGCACTTGGAGTCTACCAGCTGCTCCTCAGGACAGAAGCGGACACTTTCCTCCCATGAAGAGTGACAGCTTTGGAAATCTGATGGAGAACAACTAAGTCAGAATCAGCAAAAGCAAGGGTGCTGCTGAGAGCTACTGAGAAGCATGGAGTTTCACAAATAACGTCTGTATGATGCCAAGAGGTCGACAGTTCTTTTCAGGATGACAAGCTAAAGGGATAGGGACACTAGAAGCTGGAAATGCAACACCCAGCATACAATTAAAGAGCATGCTTTCGCATCGTGGAAAGTAAAAACAAGTTTCACGGAGCAATTTGTGTGTTGTTGCTGTTAGAGGTCGTCGAGTTGACGGAGACTCATAGTGACTCTGTGAACAGTGGATCTGAGTCTCCCCATCCCGCACTGTCATCACCATCTTCAGCGATGCTCAGGCCCGTTGTTAAAATCACTGGGTTGGTTCGTGTTGTTGGGGGTCTTCCTTTGACTCCGCCTTTCCCAGCTCAATATCCTTTCCCAAGACGTGTTGCGCTTGAAAATCTGCTGTCAAGGATCTCTCCAGAGTGCTGAAAAGCAGTGATGCCAGTGTAAAGACTGGCCTCACCCAGGCCATGGTATTTCTAGTTGCTGAAAGCTGGTCACTGAATCAGGATGACAGAGGAATCCCCACCCTTGAGCTGTGGTGCTGGGAAAGGGTGCTGAAGAGCCCTCTCACTGTCGAAGAACAAACACGGCTGTCTCGGACGAATGCCACCAGGGAGCTCCTTAGTGGCACAGAGGGGGAAATTCAATCTCAGCATACTTTGGGCATGCTGTCAGGAGGAACGGTTGGTATAGGAATTGTCACATGAGTAAAAACAAATGAATTCTTAAGGAGCAGCTCCACTCTGCATACACAAGGCCACCATGAACGAGGGTCAGCTAACAAGAGCCTATCAATGCAGCCAGCCAAGTCGGCATTGGTTGGTAGAGATGCCTTGAGTGCCAAACTCCACGTGGTGTTGAGTTGGTGACAGTGTGATTGGAGATGGGGCTTGTCGTTTGCACAGTAGATGGTGTGAAGATGATCAGAATCATTAACACAAAGTCACGACTTGGATGACAGGCTGAAAACAGCATTTATTCAGACAGATGTCATCTCGTCTCACTAGGGGTCGGGCTTGTAGTTGTTCACGGAGAGAAGAGGATGATCTGTGATGACTAGGACAGACAGACCCCACTGTTTAGCCACCCCAGACCTTCTGAACTTAGTGGACATCCCAGAAGCACTTGGGAAAAATCACTGCCCTTTCTTGAGGGGTGAAGATTCAGATGATTTCACAAAGCCCTGGGAATCCCGCAGCCTCTTCCTGGGGGCAGGCTAGATCCTCGCTCACCAAGGCGACAAGTCCTCTGGGTTATTTTAAATCAAGTTGTTCCTGGAGAGTCCCAGTTTATCTCGGGGTGCATATTTTAGAGCAACTGTATGAACTGTTTATAAGAACCAGCATTCAACGGCTGTGTGTTTGTTTGGAGCCCTGCCAGTAAATTGAATATCCCAAATGAGAGATTAACTATGCTGAGAGCTGTAATGAGCAATACGCATGCTCTGTCGTAATTACTGGAGGAGAGTATGTAACTTGGACTCTCAAACTTCTCACTGCAGTTTAAAAAAAAATTACCTGCAAGACAGTGCTGGGCTTTTTAATGAGGAAAAGTCCTTTTAAGAGGAAATGTTCATCAATCGAAGGTGCTCCTGTTCCAGCCTATGTTCGGGGGGGGGGGGCTCCGCAGAGAACAAGGGTGGGTTGCGTGCTGGGCAAGCTGCACCTCTCACTCTCAGGGACCCATGGGCCCAGCCACTAAGCTGTTGGTGTGAGCGTGATGCGTGCTCACCTTGGCCAGGACACACACACTTCCAGGCGAGGTGGGCTTGCCTGCCAGAGCGCTAGTTGCTGCACACACCGAAATGTCAGCCCATCTACGATGCCGGGTCTGGCTGTCCCAGGCAATGGCTCTCTATAGGCCTTATTGTTTAGAAGTCAGATTTCAGTGGAAACCACAGTCTCTGATGTTCACAAAGGATCCAGACAAGAGGAGCTGGTTGCTCTGAAGAAATTGTCCCCAGAGGCCCCCTCACCCACCAGAGGGCAAGGCTGCACATTGGATTCCACCAAGTGTCGATGTGCTTCTACGAAGATCACACCGTTGGTTAAGGTGGCGCTGCATTTCTCCTCCGATTTCATGACTGACTAACCCCCACCTCTTTCCCGTCACTCACCAGACACACTATGTTTCCTCACCTTCTCAGTTATGGTTGGGTACCAGCTTAGCCTCTGAGATCACTGTGATCACCCTGCAAAGTTTTCCAACTTTGACAGGAAAGGCATTCTCTTAGTAGAGTCCCACAGTTTTACTGGCTGAAGTCCAGCTGTATTCTCATTACCAAATGCTTATGAGGTCCCTTCTCTTCAGCCTTCACCTCCTGACAGTCTAATTTATCAAACCCATTCTTATCTAAGAGTTTCTTTCTTGGTCATGCCCATCAGCCTTTCTCCACTACTGTTAGTCCGTGTGCTTCTGTGGGGGCTCACTGTGGCTGTGGTACTGGAAGCTATGGCACCAGCATTTCAAATACCAGCAGGGTCACCCACAGTGGACAGGCAGAGTGTCCAGATTAAGACAGACTGGTAAGGAAGGCCCTAGATACACAGCAACTTAGTTCTGAAAATTAGACAATGAAAATCCTGTAGATTGGAACAAAATTTATCTGTCAGAATGCTACAAGGAAGACCAGGCTCTGAGGTTGGAAAACACTCAAAGTCAGTACCGTCAAGTTGGAACCAACTCACCACTGATCCTCCATTGGATTTCCGAGGCTGTAATTGCACAGAAGGACATTTCTCACCTCTTTCCCCCGAGGTGTTGCTGGTGGGTTTGAACTGCCAAAGGCCTGTGTCCTTTGGGTTATTGGTGTAGCTCCTTACAGACTAGGCTACCGGAGTGCCTGCCTCCTAGGTTGGAAAGCACTCACTACACAGTAGCTGCCACAGTGAACCTGAGCATACTAATAACCTTAAACGTGATCCAGAACCCAGATGTGATCTGTTTCATTGTACCTGGCTGCAGTCGCCAAGAGTCAGTTCCTACGCATGTGAGAGCTGGACAGTGACTAAGGATGACAGAAGTATCATTGATGCCTCTATGTTGTGGTGCTGGAGAAGAGCGCTGAATATCTCATGGATGGCCAGGAGGACACATCAACCTGTCTTGCAGGAAGTGCAACCAGGGTGCTTGTTAGAGGCGAGGCTAGTGAAACTTCATCTCAAAGTAGAAAAAGTGATGTCAATCAGTGGGAAAAACCTACGAAAAATCTGTAAGCTGCTTAGTTAACAAGCAAAGCAAGCAGTTGGCCATCGGTAGCCAGGTGTGGAGGTGCAGCTCCTCAAGTGTACCCCTTCTTCTCTGAGGCCCACATTGCGCCACTGGCTCCTCCTTCCCTGCCACGTTTCACTCGTACATGTGCTGGGACTACATCTTTCACACTGTCGGTACTGCAGCACCTCCTGGCCCTTCTCCCCGTCTGTCTGTCTCTCTCTGTCCCTCTGCTCTGCCCTGTCACATTTCATTTGTTTGCTCCATGCCAAATATGACACAACAGTCAAGGATATGTGTGCCCCCCCCCCCCCGCTTTGCTACCAAAGTAATCTTGGAAAATATGACATTTAATTGTTTTGTATGCTTTTTAAAAAACTTTGGGGCCATGTGGTTTGAAGGCCATGGCCTCAGGGAAAGGAGACACATATGAATCTGGTTATAAAATTGCTGAAAGAAGTTGAGGAAAAGCACGCCAGGGCAGCAGGCACTGGTGGGAGCTGGTGGGGGGAAATCCGCACAGAGAGTTGGCAGTTTGGTGAGTAAGTGATGACTCCAGTTGAAAGGTAAGGCAAGATTCGATGGTAGAGGATCTAATCTGGGCTAGCTTGATTAGGTAGGGACAGAGCAGAGGAACGAGGATGGCTTTGGGCTGGGGAGCTGGGACAGACTGCCCACAGACAGGAGGAGTCTGGGATGCCTTGGCCAGAAGGAGGTCCTCCCGTGGAAGCTTGTGTGCAGAGCAGCGGTCCTCCAAAGGCTCCCCCCATTCTTCCTTGCCTGGAGTGTGTGTGCACTGATACAGGCCAGGCAGGAAAAGACTCAAGGGAACAGGCATTCGAGCCCAGACACCCGGGAGCCCACCAGTCACAGATCATCGCTTCTACCGGATTGCTTTCCAGGCTTTTGCTCTTTCTGTATATTTTATAACCTAGCTGAGCTCATACTGTAGCTGCAATTTGATATCTTGTTCTTTTTCCCCCTTCAACTTTAACATAATGCAGACAGTCCTGTGCTTTTCTAAACCCTGGGGGAGTGTTTCCCTGGCAGCCCGGCAGCTCATCTGATGCACACATTAGGGAGTGCAGTGCTCACAGCAGTCAAGGGCATGCCTGTGGGGCTGTCAGCCTGGCCTGCCCACGCAGCCCCCTGCCCCTGTAACTAACTGGGTGACACCCCCCTAAAGCCTTGATGAGTGTGTCTATAACCTGGCCATCAGAATGTCACTTCCTCATTGAGTCATTGAGTGATTTCCAAACTCCATGCTCGGTCTGTGCCATCTGACCCTCACAGTGTCCCTAAGAGGGTGATGGTAGCAGGGTCACCCTTTTACAGATGAGAAGGCTCAGCGAGGCGGTCAGGGTGCCCAGTGTCCACAGTTCTCAGAGATCAGATCCTGAAGCTGACCCTCTTACCCTGTGCTGCCATCTTGCTTGCTCAGAAGACCCTTGCCAAACCACCCAGCTGGTAAAGAGCCTAAACGCCCCCGAGAAATTCCTTGTGGGCCTGAGACTTGCTCTGGGCCCAAGGGCTGCACCAGACTCTGGTGGGTGGGGCTGAGAAGGGGCCACCTCTGCTGGCCTCTTTCATGAGGCCACAGTAGCAAATTTTCAGAGAGCAGAAGGGGCTTTGTCACAAGCCTGGTGATGCCCAAAGAGATTAAGAGACATAGCAACTGTGCCTTAGACTCTCTCCGTGTCTGTGTGTCTGCAGTGATTTTGAAGTGATAATGGCTGACCCCCTGCACTTGGCCCCCATGGCCTGTCTCCCCAAACAGGAGGGCCTGGCTCCTCTGGAGCTGGTTCAGGGTCGGAAGTCACTGATTGCAGCACTACCTCCCCCAGCTACAGAGTGACAGAGCAGGCAAGAAAAGCAAATAGCCTCTGATATGGGGGGTGGGGTGATCTGTTCCATCTCATCACGTGTTACAGAGGCCGACTGCTCTGTGGGTTGCCACAAATGGCCTGCCAGCTGCAGAGTAGAAAGAGGCAGAAGGCTTGGAACCCAGCTTGGCCGCAGCAGGCCCTCCACCGGGTTTTGGGGGCTGGTCCCCCCCATGCAGGACAGATTTTATTTGGAGTCGTACAGTGACTCTTTTGGAAGTGCTTGGTTATTCAGCAGATTAAATCTTAATTGCAAATGCTGTTTCAGCGTAGGAGTACCATTGTGCTTGCTGGTGGCAGGCCATTTTTGCTGAGGCGTGCTTTTCCAGAAGGCTGTTACAAATTTAGAAAGAGGGAAATGGCGCTTCATTCGCCGATCAGGGTTTTGTTTCGCAGACCGAATTTATTTCAGCGTTTGCTTAAAGGTGCCAAAAACTGACATCCCTGGAGAGAGCATTGCTCGATTTATTTGGAGCCATTTTCTGAATTGTCCAAACTGCATCTAGAAAACAATGTCTGTGGTCTTTCTGTCAGAGAACATGCTTGCCAGTGGTTCTCATGAGCTCTAAATTTTATTCATTTTTCAGAGACCCAAGAAGCCACCACCTCCATCAGCGCCTGTCATCAAGCAAGGGGCAGGTAATGTACCTCTCAGTCCTATCAACAGTGTGGGTCATACTCTTTGAGTCTGTTTAGACTGGCCTGGGGGAGCACGATTCCCGGATGGCCACATTAGGAAGTGATGATTTGATCTGAGCAGACAGATTTTAAACATTTCTGCCAGTAATGAGTTGTTTGGTTTGGTGACTTCCCCCCGCCCCTTCTAAAAAAGAAAGAAAATGTGTCCCTAATACAATGAAAATTTCTAGATTCCCGGAATGAATGGTCAGAAAGAGCTATAAATAAACTGGGTTTGCTTGATTTTTCTTTTTCATAAACCAATTTTTGAGCTAAGTCGAAACTAACGGGCCTGCTCTTGTATGTACCCTATGCAGAGTTGGTGTAGGGAGGATTTCTTACCATGTTTCATGAGGTCACCGGGCATGGACAAAGCTGCTGAATTTTCAGTATTCCCTAGGTGGTGAGCCAAACTTTGTACAAGTTTGACATCCTCCCCTCAATATTGTTCCTACCAATAAATATTTTCTCCTTTGGTTCTTGTTTTCATCTTGCAAAGCATCCCACTCACTTCTTCTGACTGGTTCAGATCCCAGAGTTGAAGCAGACACATAGAATTGCTGTTGGGCATTAGGGTAACTCACTGCATATAAGATGGTAATTCATATTTCCCAGTAGAATTCCTCTCTTTAATTGTTAAAATTTGTTGTAGAGAGAAATTCTTCCATGAATAACTAATTCAGTGGCGTTGTAAAAAATAGCAACTCGAATGGAAGAAGAGTAAAGGTATTTTCAGCTCTGCACTTTGGCAACTCTGATGTTTTTAAATATCGTTTAGAGTGTGAAGATATTTCCACACTGACTTGCTTATGGAGTTATTAAAGCGGTGATTTGTCACAAAAGTTCTTGTGGCCCGCCAAGTTGGGGGGGATTAGGGCAGCCCCAGGTAGGCTCCCTTCCCATTCCCTCCAGCCTTGCTGAGAATTGCAGAGTGTAAACCCTGAAATGGGATGTTGCTCACATCTCCCACGCCACACCCACCCTCCTTTGCATTAAGCAGCTTAATTTTGCCACCTGGTGGTTCCAGTGGTATGAGAGAGAGAGAGAGGAGAGAGAGAGAGACTGAAATTGATTAAAGCAAGCTACTTGTTTGTTTTCTCGGGGGAAGACCCTTTACCCTGGAGACCTTGATCACGCCTAAGAGACCAAGCAGATGAGTCGAGGCTCAGAGCAGCCGAGCACGTAACCAAGATTAAATTGTTCATAGTAGGACTTCAGGTCCTGCTGTGGATCTGGGCATCATATGGAACCTATTCACTGTCACTAGGTGTCTAGATGGTATCATAGTAGGGTAAGTTCTCCTTTTCAAACAATTTCCCCAGTGGTTCTGATAGACTTTTGTGAGCGGGGCAAGTGAACCCTGTTCACTTCTCTTGCAGAATGATCTTGGAATTTGCTTGGTGATGGGAGGGGTAGATTTTTCCAGTTCTCCTCATCAAGTTTCCATTATTTTATATAAAAAAAATTTAAAACCCACAACAGATGTGGAATTGACAAAAATCCAGTCCAGAGTTTTAATTGTAGTGAGCCAGAGGAAAACGGGGGGAAATGTGTGTTCCAAGCCCTCATCTCTGGGGCTGGTCAGGTGGAGGTTGCCAAACACTTAACCAAGTCCATAAATAAGAGAAGGGCTTTGGATTTGCTTGCTGCTCTAACTAGTCTTAAGCACTCTTTCATGCAACGCATGAGGAAGCAGCTGCTCTACACCTGGGCAAAGATGAAATGCTAATTGGCACATTTGGAAAATGTAATACTTGAGGGACTCCCAGACGAAAGGGCTTTGGGTCCTCTCTGCCCATCCCTCAACTTATAAATGTGTGCTGTGTACTCTTGCTGCAGAAGAAACTCCCCCAGACCGAGCGGTGTAGAGCACCAACTGAAAAGAAATTCACAGCTTCTGTGGGTCCCAACATTCCAATGGGGCCCAACCCAGACCTTCTGTGGGGGTGAGAACCTCAGCTGGGGATGCGATGCGGGAGCAGCTGAGGCTGGAGCGTGCACTTCTTTGCGCATGTGGCTGGCACCTCATAGCCGGGCCAGCTGGCAGCCAGGGCTCCGCTGGGGCTGTTGACTAGAGTGCCTCCACACACCCTCTCCAGCATGGCAGCCCCAGGGGGGTGGAGCTGACATTTCAGCTCAGTCTTCCAGCAAGTAAATAATAAAGGGATGGCCTTTTGTGAAGTCACATGGTGTCACTTGGCCCACCTTGCAGGCAAGGAGATAGAGACCTCACCACTTAAGGGAAGGCTATCAAACAGTTGGAAGCCCCAAGTGCTGCTAACAGTTAACATCAACTGCTAATCAAAAGGCACCTGAGAGAAGGACCAGGCCCCCCGGGGGGGGGGGATGGGGGAATACGCCCAGAAAATCCTCTGGAGCGTAGCTCTGCTCTGACATGGGGGTTGCTTTGAGCCTGAATTGACTTCATAAGAACCAGTTGTCTACCAAAATATTAGAGGTGATGTTTTAAAACAACGACAAAATGGATTTACGGCCCTGCTCGTCTTTGTTCTGCAACTTACGTGGCAGCTTGTAGACTTTTAAGACCCAAGTCACTGTTCACCCAAGTAGGATATAGAACATTATTAGTTTTTTTGGGGGGGTTAAATGAATTTTTTATTGGTTTGCATACAATAATTTGTTTATACTGTATTTCATTCATATATAGAACATTGTTTTTGTGGACCATGTTATGTTAGCTGACCTGGATGTCCTTAAGACTATGATCATATGCCATGTTTGGTTAGATTAAGAAGTTTATGGAGCCTGTTTTCTCTACCATATACATGAGTGTATTTATAACATATACAAATATTCACAAAGTACTACCTGTGACAAACACACAAAGTCATGAGTGTAGTCTCTTTCAGCTGTCCACATCTCTTCATTTTGCCTTTCTGTCTATGTATGTGTCCACTTGTAGAGTAGTGCTTGTTCTTACTGAGAGTGCTGGACTATACACGCCGTAGAATACTTTACCTTTGATGTTTGTACCTCTTTACACACCGCTCGGCATCTTTCCTGTTTCTTGTGATACTGTGCTGATCACCCTTCCTTCGCCTATTTTTGTTTCCTTTTAAAACTAAGTTTATATAGCTTTTCCTTTGTGTTTGCTGCTATGTGCTGCCGAGTCAGAACTGACTCATAGCTGACCTTCCAGCTGGTTTTCAGAGGCTGTAAGTCACACAAGAAGAGATTGCTTCTCTTTCTCCCTTAGAGCAGCTAGTGCATTTGAACTACCAGCTTTTCAGTTGGCAGTGCAACTTCTTACCCACTGGGCTACCAGAATCTTTTCTTTACCCATCCTAATATGTCTGTGTTATCTAGATGCTGATTCTTTCCTCCCCTTTCTAACCTCCCTTGTCCCTGATAATAGTAAAAAACTGAGGTATGATCCTATTGGTACCATTATCCTAATGGTGCAGTGGTGATCAAAGAAATACATTTTCACTAGTAAGAATATTTGTTGTTTATTTTTTTAAAAAAAAGAATATTTAAGAAGAATGATGTTAGGTCTGTCACCACTGATTCATTCTTAGAAGGTAGTATTTCTCTTTTAGATGTTTGGTATATGTACACTAAAGAGATACCAAGAGCTCTGGTTGTTCAGTGGGTAAGAGGTTGTACTGCTAACAACCTCTCCAGCAGTTCAAACCCACCCAAAGCTCTGAGGGAGAAAGATGGGCAGTCTCCTCTCAGGTGATTTACATCCTCTGAAAATCCCATGGAGGGTCAGCTATGAGTTGGTTCTTCCTGGAGACCACTGAGAAAGCAAGCGTGTGGTAAGATTATCATATTCTGAATAACTGATGCAGCCCAGGCACTGTCCCAGCAATCTGTGACATGGCGATCCACGCTCTTGGTCATCGCCCGTCAGGCCTGGCAGTTGTAAACCTGCTGTAAGTAGCAACACCTGACTGAGTGTCTTATTAGAATTCTACGGAAGGTAAAAGGCACCAGGGACCAACAGAATGGTGTTCTTGGCACAGCATCCAGACTTTGTGTCCTTAAACTTGACAGTGATACCTTTACATCACCACCCTGGGCTGTTCCTCAGTCTTTTGGGCTTTCTTTCCGGTTTTTGCTTTCATTTTCCCCTCAGAGATTAAATTATAAAGTGTTCTATCGGGATGGGTGGGGAACCAAAACAAAAACCCTGCTTCTTTCTAGCTGGACTTCTTCCAAGACAGGTCTGTTTATTCTCTTGGCAGTCTGGAGTATTCTTCACCACTATCATGATTCAAAGGCATCAGTTCTTGCTCCTCATTCCTTATCCATTGACTTGCACATGTTTATGGGGGCACTGATAACTCACTGGCTGGAGACAGGCGCATCTTAGCCCTCAGAATGACGTTTTTAACACCTTAAAGAGATCTTTTGCAGTGGATTTGTTCAGTGCAATATATCAGTTGCTATCTTGACTGCTGCTTCCTTGGGAGTTGATTATGGATCCAGGTAAAGGATATCCTTGATAAATTCAGTATTTTCTCCATTTTATCATGAAGTTGCTTATTGGTCCAATTATGAGGATTTTTGTTCTCTTTTATCTTACAGTCTGATTCACACTGAAGGCTGTATGTAGTCTTTTCTGTCACATTTTCTTCACCTACATCAACCAAGGTTGTGTGATATACATGACACAGGTTGTTAATCATTTTCTTCCAGTCCTGATGCGGATGGATGTTCACAGTGAACACAATTCAGTGTTCTTCATACAGTTCAGCTTCTGGATTCTTTGCTCAGCATGCAGATCGAATAAGAATGGTGAAATGAAACAGCCCCAGCACACACCTTTCCTTACCTGAAACCATGCCGTGTTCCCCATACTCTGTTTGAAAGACGCCCGTAGAGACTAGACTATACAGGTCCTCCACATGGCTCCAGTTGCTTGTCCAGGTGGCTGTCTTTCAAATTTCTTGGCACAGAAGATTTGAGGGTTCCCGGTGTTGCGTCTGTTTGTTGAAACATCTCAAGTCCCTTCCCATTGGCTCCTGGAGCCTTGCTTTTTGCTGATGGCTTCAGCACACCCTTGGCTTCTTCAGTGTGGTCCTTGATCAGACGCCGCCTCCTGAACACTCACCAGTTCTGGTCATGCCTGTGTATTCCTTTGACCTTCCCTTTATTCTCTGCATTGTTTATTATCATGTCAGTACAATCCTTCTGTATTGTGACTTGACAGTTCAGTTTCCAATTCTTCGAACTAAAGAAACACTGACCATGTTCTTTGCTTTTGGTTTTCTGACTCCAAGTCTTGGCACTTTTGATCATGATACTTCTTGTGTGTTTTTGAGTTGCCCTTTGGCATTTTCTGTCCAGCTCTTCAACGGCATCATTTCTTCCTTTTACTTGAGCTGCTTTGCACTGAAGAGAAAGTTGCAGAGTATGTTTCCTGGCTATTTGTGTGTGTGTGTGTGTGTGTGTGTGTGTGTGTGCGTGCGTGTGTGTGTGATTTGAATGAAATCTATAAAGCAAATTGGTATTTCATTCAACTAACTGTGAACATTTTTTCATATAAAAGTAATTACAATAGCTTGGTCAGATCTGATTTGATGGTACACACACACAAAAAAATAAAAAATAAAATTAAGAAATGTAATTACAATAACCAGAAGGTAACTGAACTTTCCAACATTTCCTCCTTGTACTTCTCATTGGAACTAATCCTTCTACCCTACTGCTTCCTTTCCTTAGGGGTTTATCTCTCTTTTTAACAGCCTTTTCCTTTTTCTTTCTTTTTTTTTTTGTTATTACAGAATTTCTCATTGGGTTTATTGTTAATATATTTTTAAATATTTTATATTATTTTACATACAAAATCTGTATCATTCATGTACATTGTGTTTCACAAATTCCTTCATTCACATTGTGTTTCATATGATCATTCCCATGCACTGTCTTTTATAAGATTGATCAACTTTGATCTGTGCCCACTATTATCCCATCTTCTCATGTCTTCACTAGATCTCTCCTAATTCTTTCACCCTCTCCATCCACCTACCAATTTCTGTGACATTTTGCTTTCTTCAGGAATGAAAATTGATGTCATCCCAAAAGTCATTTCAATTTTGGCAATTAGTGCTCAATGTATCAAATATTTTTGTTGTTGTTGTTATTATGTGCTGTCAAGTCTCCTACAACCCATAGCGACCCTTTGTACAGCTGCTCTGGACCCTGCCCTGTCCTGGGCCAGTCTCAGTAATTCCAACACACTACCCCCATTACCCCAGTTACTGTGCCAGTCCATCTTATGCAGGGTCTCCCTCTCCTGTGCTATTCCTCCACCCTTCCGAGCATAATGTCCTTCTTCAAGGACCGGTCTCTCCTGGCAATGTGCTCAAAACATGTGAGACTGAGCTTCAAAATCCTAGCCTCCAAGAAGAAACTTGGTTTCACCCTCCCCAAAAAAGACCTATTTGTTTTCTTGGTGGTCCATGGCATGGACTTCTCCAGCACAACAATTTGAAAGCATCGATTCTTCTTCTGTCATCTTTAGTTATATAGTCCAGCTCTCTGAACCATAGCAAGTAATTGCCAAGACCATGGCCTGGATCAGGCACATTTTATTCTCTAGACTGACATCATTACTTTTCAGCACTCTGGAGAGGGCCCTGACAGCAGATTTTCCAAATGCGATTCATCTTTTGATTTCCTTACCGCACGTGTTAAGAGTGTTGTATATACCATCTAAATTTAGGTGGTGTATATTAAAGATCATAATTTGGTTCTCAAGGATTTATTTTCATTTTCTTAAGCTTCAACATGAACTTGCATATTAGCACCTGATGATCTGTTCCACAGTTCCGTGTTATGTGGTTGTTGTATTTTTTTTGCATGTTGTTGTTAAGTGCCATCGAGTTGTAGACGACTCATCGTGACCCTGTGAACCATTGTATACCTTTCATCATTTCTCCAGGTTTATAGGGTTTCCAGAGGCAAGCTATTTCTGAAGTGGATGCCACTCCTTCTTCCAAGCTAGTTTAATCAGGAGCTCTACCAAATACTGTCCACCACAAGTGACCATAATCTCATTTGACACATCAGTGTCACAGTGTTCGGCGTCACAGCAACCACGAGGTACCTCTGTATAGCAAGTGGACAGACTAGTGCTATACCACTTAAAGAGGAATGTTTGACCAAAAACAATTAACACCATGCCTGAGGGCCACAGATTAAAGTCACCTGGATTCCCTTGTATTCCATCTACTAAGGTCCATGTATATAGTTACTTTTTTTATTTTTAAAAAATATTTCCAGTGAATTGATTGTTGATCTTGCAAAGTTCTGTCACAAGATCTCTAGCATCATTTCTGTCACCAAGGCCTTGTTTTCCAACTATTAATCCTTTTTTTTTTTAAGTTTTCACACTCTAATCAACGGTAATACCAAAGCATCTTCATTGCATGTATCTAACTGAAGGAGTTTGTAAAAAAATCTTCCATTTCTTCATCTTTGGCCTTAGTAATTTGTACACAAATGTGAATAAGAATCATATTTACTAGTCTTTTTGTTGATGTACGACTATTACTCTTTCACAGACAGCAATCTACTTTAGCATAGATTTTGAATTTTTTTTCCATAAATGTGATTCTATTCCAGCTTAACTTTTCATTCCTAGAATAGTAGACTATAATATTGGCCAATCAGAATGACCAATACCAGTCTATTTCAGTTTATTAACAAACAGGATATCTATCTTTGAACTTTCACCTTTATTTTTTATTCATTCCCATTTTTAGTATTCATACGTTTTATGTTCCACATTTCAATTATCAGTAGATGTTTGCAGATGTTTCTTTTCATTTTGAATCATGTCACTCCAGCATTTGAAGGCCTTTAAAGTTTATTCTATGCATGTACTGTTGACATGACTTTGACGAAGCAAACTCTTCCTCATTCATTTTTTAGTATCTTCCTGCATAAGGGACTCATCTTCCAACACTGTACCAGACGATATTCTGCGGCTATTCATAAGATTTGTACTGGCCAATCTTTTTTCTAAAGTTGGCCACCAGGTCCTCCTTCTTAGTCTCCAAGCTCATCTGAAACCTGTCTGCCGTGGATGACCGTGCTGGTGTTGGAAAAACTTCCAGCGTCATAGCAACTCACACACCACAACAGGATGACAATCTTCTGAATAGTGGGACTTAGTTGTACCTGATAAGTATTTACCTGCCAGTATGTTGAATAAATTATCAACAAATATTTTCTGATTACTATTATCCTTTTGCCTCTAGGTACCACTGAGAGAAAACATGAAATTAAAAAGATACCTCCTGAAAGACCAGAAACCCTTCCGAACAGAACAGAAGAGAAAGGTATGAGATCAGCTCTTCCTCGGTGCCTCCAGAGCGGCAGGAACCAAGCTATATGTTGCAGGGCGCATCCTGTGATTCACCTGCAGCATTTGCTTTTCCTTTGAAATGTGATTATGGCTTTATTTTGACATCCTGTTTCTATGGTACTAAGAGACAGTTATGTGGACCTCCTGTGAGCCAAAAATTCTCATAAAATTCGAAACAACCAAGCCAACAAATTGACACATTGGGGCCTTCAGTGATGCCTTTGCTGTCACCACGCTGCCTGCACTAGCCAGATGCTGGAGCTTTGGTGATGCCTGGAGAGTCCTGGAGGGCTGTCATGTGTCTTCCTGTTTTCTACACGCCCCGCCCTCCCTTCAGTGCTTAATAGGTGCTTGCTGACTGCCCAAGTGTGGATATAGCTTTGTTAAACTCCTGTTTGGGGGAATAGTGGCTCAGCCTCTGTTGGACCCTTGACCCCCAACTATGTCTGTACCAGACACATGCCCTTAGTGAGAAATACCAGGGCAAGGGGACACATGGCACAAGTGGGAGAAGCAGTTAAGTGCCTGGAGTCTCAAGAAAACCAAATCAAAAAACCCAACCTGTTGCCATTGAGTCGTTTTTGAGTCATCATGACCCCAGGTGTCAAAGTACCACTCCCCAGTGTGTCTTCTGGGCCATGCCCTTTCCGAGCTAGATCACCCAGCCTTTCTTCCAAGATGCCCCTGGGAAGGAAGTGATTCAAACTCCTGACCTGACAGTTTGTAGCTGAACTCTTAACCATCCGAGCCACCTGGGGTCTCCTGAAGGTGATCAGAAATGCTATTTGCAGGAAAGCAGCTCGGCGTGCCTCCCTAAGCTCACATTCAGCTTCACCCTGAGCCTGACCCCTGATGTTCTGAGCTGTTCTTCCAAGGAAATCTACAGGGTGTGAAAGGATCGGGAGGGGGGCCCTTTATTTCCCTTAAGTGTCTAAGATTTGATTGATCACATATTTTATGAGAAAAGTACTATATTATTGTTATGAACAGGAGGCATCGCAAATTCTATTTTGAAAAGCAATTGTGTTTCAGTCATGAAAGTAATGCTAAATTAATGAATATAATTATTTAGAGGTGTTCCTTGCTGGCCTCATGAAATTTTATTATGGAACTTAATATTTTATGTCAACCTGCCTAAATTGTCACCAACCCTGCAATTTTTAAAGCCATTCCACCTCTATCTTTTACAGCCAACAGTTAAATCTCATAGAGTTCTTATTGAAAAGTGCAGGTCTATGTCACAGCCACAAGGAAGAGCTAGCCAGTGAGTGTACACCATATGAACAGCTCCTAACACAGCTTCTCCTATGATTCCTTGTTCTGTGCCCCTTAAGCCCCTTCTCCGTTTGTGCTGCAGGCCACTGATGCCCCAGTCCCTGTCGCAGTGGCCAGCAGGAGAAGTCTTCCCTCCCTTTGTATTCCCTTTCTCCTCACTTATCAGTACACTAATTTTGGGCATTCCTAGTTGGCTTGTATTTACCTACATAAACGATGCAAGGCTGGTCACAGTAGTATCTGTAATATACCTGAAGGGCTGTTTCCAGCATTAGCCTCAGTGCCTGCAGCTCCAAATAACATTTATAGGTCTGAGTTTACAGACAGAATACATGTTCTGAGTCGCAGCTTAGAAGTAAACATAATTTCAAGTGGGCGCCTCTGTGAAATCCATTCTTTAGAGAGAATGACGAGGGTATGTGCTGTTTAGGCCGTGCTAGTTGAAGACAGAAAGTGTGACGCTGTCACTGAACACTGCACAGTTTAGCCACCAAATCAAGCTTCAAGCTCTTTCTAATAGTTCTGACTCCAAAAAACCTTGGAAAGGGAATGCCTGTGCAGCCCAGATAAATCCCACAGCCTGTGCATGAAGAGCCCACACTGACTGTTGGTCCCAACACCCTCTTCCTCCTCGAGTTGGCCTGTGGCCCTTTCCACCTGCTGACCTAAGAGGTGTCAGGCCTCTGTCCCCAGCAGTCTCAGAGGCCTCCTGCCAAGTCCATCAGACAATTATTGAGTCCTCGCTGTGTGCTGGGCACTGACTGAGTCTCAGGGAAGCAGCCAGACGTGGGCCCCACTCATGGAGCTGACTGCCAAGCATGCTATGCCAAGCGTTCGGACACCCAGCAGGTAGCGAGGTCTGCGCAGGGCCTGCCAAGGAAGTGCTGCTCTCGGGGGCTTAGTTCAAGAAGTGAATGAATTGGCCTTTAGAGGCAAGTCTAACTGTTCTTGCATTTCACCCAAGACTCAAGGATGAGGAGGAAGGAGTTTTCTGAGCACAGGCAGTGGCAAGAAGGCCACTCCAGGCAGAGGGGACAGGCAGAGGCCCTCTACAGGGCCTCTTCTCATCCGGCAAAGGATGAATACTGCTCCTCTCCTCCCTCCTTCATTTTCATAAATATCACTCGTGATTTTTTTAAGTTGTGGGTGAAAATTTACAGAGAAAATGAACTTTCCACTCAACAATTTCTATATACTTTCACAATATTCATTGCAATTCCTTCAGTTGAGCAGCACTCCTCCCTCTTCATCTCTGTGTGCCCTGTATCACTTCCTCCTCCTTTCCTGACACTCCTGCCTTCTGAGCTCTGATTTGGGGCAGATGCTGCCCTGTTGCTCTCATGTGGTGGTTGCTCTGAGATGTGCATACCCCACGGGTGTTACTCACCTCATTGGCCTGTCTGTTGTCTGGATACAAGCAGGTGCCAGGTGTGACTAACTGAGGGTCACAGTCTCCAGGGTGGGGAGTAGGAGACCAGCAATTTACACCGGAATCCCATCACTCACACTGGATCTCTCTGTTTTCTTTATGATTTTTGGAACCATGATTTAAAGAAAGACCAGAGAGAGAGCCAAAACTGGATTTACAGAAGCCCTCTGTTCCTGCCATTCCACCAAAAAAGCCTCGACCGCCCAAGACCAATTCTCTCAACCGGCCCGGCGCGCTGCCCCCGAGAAGGCCAGAGCGACCAGCAGGTCCCCTGGGCCACACCAGGTACTGCTACACGCTCACTCCTGCAGGCTTTGAGAAGGGAAGCTGGAGGGCTTGGGGTTGGGGTGGGGGAGCTGTCCTCTTCACCCTCTAACCAAATTGTTCAAGAGTCCAGGCACGTCTGCCCTTGCCCCTAAGTGTGGGCAGAGGACCCTTGCACATTTCAGGGTAGACAAATGAGGCTCTGAGCTTCTGTCTAGGTGTACCCCAACACAACACAGGGTTCTGCTTTGTTAGTGCCAACCAACTGTCCTGATTGGCCTGTGGCAGCCCACCCAGCCTGACACCCTTGGGGGCTCTGCTGAGCTCTGCTGTGCACCTCACACTCACTTGGTGACATCAGAGGGCCTGCTTCTTTCATATCCCCAGGCCCCCCTCTCTTCTGTCCACTTCGTTTGTCATTGTACAGCCCTAGTGTGGCAGCCAGCACCTGGCATGGGGTCTCTAAACTCTGAAACCCTCCAAGGCCAAGTTCAGGCACATGTTCCAAGACTTGCCTGGCAAGAGGATTCTGTTTGTTAACTGTATGCTTGATGCTTGGTATAGTAATGTGGAATTAGAGTTGAATGTTGGGTACTCTAGAACAAAGATGCCCACCGCAGAGCAAAGAGCTTAGTGAATTCTTGCCACAAGGTCACTGCAGAAGCTTTCTGCCATTACTTGCAGCTTCTATATGTTGGTGTAATACGTCAGAGCACCTGTCACATACAGTTGTGCCACTGTCTTTTTCTTTCTTATGAGCTTAGATTACATGGGGAGGACAGGGCTTCAGTGCTTTTAAGTCACACGAGCCTCTGCGCTTGAGTCACACCCGCCCTCATCGTGGGAGGGGGATCTTGGCCACTCACTGCACCTCTTTACCTTCATTTATCCATCTGGAATCTGGGATGGTAATGGAAATTGGAATATTAAGGGAAAGACATCATGCCGGCAAAGGTGTAGGGTCAGTGAAGGAGAGGAAGACCTCCAGCGAGGTGGGTTGACTGAGTGCCTGTAATCCTGGGCGTCTTGGAGACGGTGGAGGTGGCCCAGGATAGCACGAGGTTCAGATGTGTTGTGCACTGGATCACCGTGAGTCTTGCTCGACTCGATGGCACCTAACAACAACAATGGAATGGGCTAGGAGGACGGAAGGAGAGAGCTCCCAAGCCCTTCGCACTGGACTTGGACATCCATGCAATTATCATTGCCATTTTGATTCTCTCTCTCTCTCTAAATGGGCATACTACAGGAATAACTCATTTGCTGTTTTATTTTTTCACTCACTTTGTGTTTCATACAACTATTCCATCCATTGTATGTTATAAACTTAATCACCATTGATCTATCCCCACTATTACCCCATTTTTTCCAATTCCCACTGCATCTTTCCTAATTCTTTGGCCCCTCTCTCCTCCCATAAAATTCTATGACCCCATGATTTCCTCTCTCTTCACCCTCAGCCCCTTTGCCCCCCCTTCCCTCTTTGGATAGCCATACTCATCTTACTAGTTATCCTTCGGTTTTTATAATAACAGTCTTAATGCAGTATTTGTCCTTCTAAGCATAAGGTATACAGTATATCGCATGTTATACAGTAGTTTTCAAAATCATTGCTCCTAAGTGCTACATAGTCGTTTGCATTTTAAGAGCCACACAACACACATACTCACATGTGTGAGTCCCAACCACACACTCAGCTGCACCTGTCTCAGGCATGTGAACCCATTTGTGGAGCAGCTGGTTCATGCGTGTGTGTCAGCAGGCAGCCCACCAAGGGCCAGGCAAAGCAGTGCCTGCAGAGATGAGCCCCGGCGAGGCGAATAGGACCAGGCCTCTGTTGAGTTTGTCAGGCCCCTAAGTGACCTGCTCTCTGCCACAGACTGATAATGGGGGCTGTTTACACATGCATGTGGCGTGCAGTGTGGCAGCCCTGCTGACCTTAGCAAAGGCCGCGTCAACATGTTCTCAGCCCAGAAGCAAGCACTGGGAAGAAAAAGGTTATGTAAGCATCTATGCTTGTGGAAATAATATGAGCTACACGAACAACGAGGAGAGCTCTGGCGGTGGAGTGAACTGTGCTGCTCACCCAAAGGCCCTGTGTTTGTGCATGTCATTGTCAGGCAGGCACATCCACCAGGGGCTCCAGGAGAAAGATGGGTGGTCTTCACCCATTTCAGCCTCAGAAACCCAGTGAAGGGTCACTTTGAAGCTGAACTGACTTGAAGGCAGTGAAAGAGGGAGAGAAAGAAATACACAAACCACACAGAGATTTTTGGAGCACCAGAGGCTACATGTAGCCTGGGGTGGGGGGTTCAGAAGTCACCCCGGCCAAATGCTGGTAGCCTTCCAGTAAATACAGACGTTTCCATGCGCTCTGGAGCAGTGTCCCAGATACCCCTGCAGCATTCTCCAGTGACCCTGTGGAATTCGGCCTGCTTCCTTGTCTCCCAGAGCTGTTCTCGAACCTCTAATAGGTGTGGGCTTCCTGAGTCTCTCCTAATAGGCCTGTGAGCATAAGAGAGGCAATTCCCAACTGCTGGGCTCACAGAGACCAAACGCCCTCCCCTCTCGGCTCCCCCTGCCCCCAAGTGCAGTGGTTAAGTAAGAAGTTAGGGAGGAGGGTGCTTGAGGTGCATGGGACATCGCCAGGAAATAGAACTGTTCTCAGCATTGGGAAGAGAGGCAGCCCTTTATCAAGCCCCAACCCACCCCAAAGCAGTGGTTTGCAGAAGGAAGTGCTGGGATTGCTTCCTGCCCTGGAGGGCTGTGTTTAGTATGTGAAGTCAGTGATTGTGTAGTTTGTTAGCTTGTAGGACTACTAACCCCAAGGCTGACAGTTGGAATCCAGCAACTATTCCAAGGGCACCCTGCTCCCTTTCAAACTGGAAAGCCAGTGGGACAGTTTAACTCAGTTCTGTTAGAGGGTTTGGAAGCAGGAGCGGCATCCACTTCCTTAACCACATGCCTCTGGAAATTCTATAAACTCTGAGAAACAACTATAGTTCTAGAACAGGTTCAGGCCTTCTATTCATAGGGTTGCCAAGAGTCGTGCCCGACTTGACAGCAATCAACAACAGTGGCGATGTCCTCAGGACAACAGGACCTCAATGCCGCCAGAGCTTGTTAGGAATCGACTGCCAAGCCCACCCGCGCATTTCAGGCTCAGGCAGTCATCACTTTTGGCTCATAACCAACCCTCCACTGTGTCCAAGGCTGTCCCTCACTCGGGAGGGGATTGCACATTTTCCTCGGAGCCGCTGGTGGATTCGAACAGCCAAGTGAAGCCTGGCCTTTGGGTTGGCAGCGCAGTTCCCTCTGGGCTGCGCCACCAGAGCCCCCTGGGGGTTTCCCCACTCTGCAGGCTCGGCTCGGGGTGATGCTGCCACTGGTCTACTCGCACCTTATGCGCGCTGCCGCTATAGGCTCTGCCAAGGTTTCAGTGCATCCTCCTCCTCCCCTGGCCGCCTCTCATACCAGTGACTACTCCTGATTTGAGAACCCAGCTGGTGGGACCTTCTCTGGGGGTCTTCCCCCTTCCCCCCTCCTTTACCCCCTATCTAGCCTGGTCCTGCTTCCTATGTGATGTCACTGCAATGCTTCCACCCCTACCCTTTTACCAGAGTGAAAGCAGATCAAGGGCGGATTTTGTCACCCCCACACCTTGTGATGTGGAGCATATGAGAATTGCTCATTTGACACCTTGTTGAGTGCAGTGGTTCATACAGCCAGGAGCTAGGAGTTGCCAGAGTTTGCAGTTCGGTCACTGTGTCTCCCCCTGTCCCTCTAAGCCTCTTGAATATGGATGTCTTACATTCTAGGCAACCTAAATTTCAAAGGAAATCATTTTGATTTCAGATCCAAAATTGGCAAGGGAATGTAAAGTGGTGCAGCCACTGTGGAAAGTAGTTTGGCACATCCTTAGAAAGTTGGGGATAGAAACACTGTTTGACCCAGCAATCCCTCAAGATGTATATTATTAAAAAAAATAATAAGAGCACAGCACAAACACACTCTTGTTTATTGCAGCATTATTTACTGTAGCAAAGAGGTGGGAACCACCCATGTGCTCATTAAGAGAAGAATAGCTAAAGAAACTGCGTTACATTCACCCAGTAGAGTATTACACATCACTCAGAAACAAGAAAAAAGGCTGCGTGCTACAGCACAACATGAGTGAATCTAGAGAAAATTATGCTGAGGATCGTAAGCCAGTCACAAACCCACAGTTACAGTGTAAGACGGCTGTTCTAGAAGCTAGGGAAAGATTTACAGAGAGAGTCTATACTGCAAGGAGAACAGGAATCAGAAGGGAGGGAAAGGAGACTTCATCTCAACTAATACATAGACAACTTGGCTGAAGAGAAAGGCAGCAGAGAAAATAAGAGTTGATTAGTCATTGTAATTAATGAATGACAGTAATCAGTGTAAATCAGTGCTATTAAAAATGTGTGCGAGCCAATAGGATGTGTAAATCTTCACTCAAATAAAAATCCATTGTTTAAAAAAGTGTAATAATAACTTTTGAAAAGAGATACAAATGAAGACAGGGGGAAAAAAACCTAAACTCAGATTAAAGAACTAAAATAGAGATGAGACAAATGCAGTCGGATGAATTAGGAAAGTTCCTCACACATTAAAGCATTGCCGAGACACTTCTCCATAAAGCAAAATGCATCGTTAGTAAAGTTGGCAAACATAAGTTAGAAAAAGAAGAAAATAGAGAATGAATCCTACTGAAGGGAAGCTAAGGTCATTGGCAAAATTCCTACTTAGATCCCGCTATAGTTTGTTATGGGGTCTCTGGGTTGCACCACTGCTAACCTAAAATTGTGGTTGTTGGCTCAGAAGCCCCTCGAGCAATGGCACGGAAGAAAGGCTTGGTGATCTGCTTCTGCACAGATTACAGCCAAGGAAACCCTACAGAGCAGTTCTCCTCTGTAACACATGGGGTGCTTAGGAATCAGCTCCACAACAATAGGCTAAATTCCCTTGTCATAGTTAGTTCTGCCAAGCTGGAAGGT